TGGTATCAGAGCATTAAGGCAGCTGAAACACCTTGAGGAGTTGAACATTTCCCACCTCGATGCAGTCACCTCAGAGAGTGTTGAGGAAGCCCTTGGCAAGGAGCCCCGTCCCAGTTTGAAGTTACTCAATGTTGCTTCACTGCCACTCAGCTGGAAGGCAGTTGTGAACATAGCAGCCTCACTGCCGAACTTGACTTTCCTAGATGTCTCAATGTGTACTGGAGGAATCAATGATAAAAGTGTACAGGTGAGAGGAGGAGTTAAGAATATTATTTCTTGCAAATTTTCATTATTCATTATTATCATATTTATCAGTAGTAGTAGAGCAGCTCATAACTTATTATTGTCAACATTGTAAGTAAACCTGATAATTTTACATTTGGTTATGATTGTGATTTTATATATTTTGTTGCTTCATACTGTAATATATGAATAAAAGAAATCATGGTTACAATAGGAGACAGGGTTCATTTGAGTTTTTCATTTGGTACACATAAGAATGTCTTGTTTTTCATGAGAATAAATCCACATTTTAAAAGTATTTTGTAAGATTAATTTTGAGTTTTTTATTGATAACAATTAATCCATTGGATCTGGGTGCCCAAAATCTGGGTATTAGGCTTACTTGAGTGACAACTTTACCAAGTGCAATGATATAGTTTTTTTTTCTGTTGTGCCATTTTCCAAGGGTTGTATTTGTCTTTTGATATGTTTTTCAAGATGGTAATAATGGTGGTGTTTTCCTTGCATAAACTCCATATCTCTCATGGTAGTCTACAACTATGCAATAACAATAACAATAAGTAACATTTTGTTAGTTATGTAATTTTTTTATATGTACATAATAATCAGTTTTAACACCATGTGCTGTCAGTTATGGTGGACCAGAATAGGTTCGTGAGGATGGAAATATTGTCCTCCCAGGAGCCAGTGCTCTTCCATCCTCATGAATGGCTCATTCTGCTCTCATTTTCGAGTGGAAATAATGCAAGAGGCCCTTCCTAAATGTCCAGTTAGTCTTCCTCCAAGAGCTTTGTGCACTCATGGCAAGTCATTCCCTTTACCCTGGCCTTCATTTAAATTTTTCATAATGGCACATTTCCAATCACTCTGGCCCTCAACCAGATATTTTTATGATGGCAGCTTCCAGTCTCCCAGCCCACAGCCAGATTTTTTCACAATGTGATGGTCACGTCACCTGAATCCAGTGGATTAATTAAAGATACATAACATAACCTTATCAACCATTTTAATACAAGGAAGTATCTTGACAGGCAATCTGCAAATCTCTAACTAAGCTCCAAACCTTGAACCTAAGTGGATGTACTGCAGTGACAGACATTGGACTTGCTGGTCATGGGCTTGGTCAGCAAGAACCAGTGCCCGATATAGCTGGGACAGGCCTGTCGCTTGAAAATCTTGGTGTGCGGAATAGAGGTAGGCCCTTACCTATTAAGAGCTAACTGGTGTTTCATGTGATACCTGCATGTCAGTATTTAACATGTGTATATGTGTATATATCGTCTGTGTGTTTGTGTTTGATTCTGACATTTTCATGTCAGATTCTTCAGATATTCTTATACACTGAAGTTTGAAGTAATACAATAAAAGTCTCTACCAACACTAAACAGTATGCAGACTTTCCAAACAGTAACATGCATACAATTGAAGTTTTTTTTTTACATACTAACTCAAAGCACAATCTAATCGGTGTGAAACCATGCTTTATGATTTTTAAGCACATTAACATATGATAAATTAATTAACCAAGCTTAGAATTTGACCACTGTACATAACCAAAATTATTCTTCCTTACTTCTGTTATAGATCCTTTTAAAGTCCCTCTAGGCTCGAAGGCAGAGCAGGTGATTCGTAAAGAAGCTGAGGTTAAGAAGTACTTGAAGGAAAATTTAGAACAGATTGTGAACTCTACTGAATATGGGTTGGGTAATCTCAAAGGTACAGGAATAAATATTGTTTTATATGTCATGTTTAGCTTAATTTTAATAGTTTTTCATATATGCTATTCTGTGCACAAGTGTTTGAAAATGAGTATTATCACTACTTCCATCATGGTATCAGCACTGCTTTCTGAGTTTCTTGTCTTTCACACACAAGCAGAATAGTACAGTGTTAAATGGAGTCATTTTTGCTCTATCATTTGATTAAACTAATTTATATGAATAAAATGAATTGGCTTATCAAACTCTCTCCTCTCTATGTGCACAGGGTTACGAGAGTTGAACCTGTGTGGCTGTATAAAAGTGACAGACATCACCTTGACCCATGCTTTACACCTGCAAGAACTACAGTACTTAAATCTCTCACACTGCCAAGCGGTTTGTAGATTCTGATATTATTATCTTATTACCAAATCTTTGTCAATGCCTATCTTTGCTTATGTTTTCAAATACTGAATATATGATTTTATCCATCCATAGCCTTCCACAAAAGTCTGAAGTTATTTCTAGTTGTGGAGTATTGTCTTCCCTCCGTGTGG